CTTATCTGAAAGAAATGATCAAGATTATCTGCTTGCCTTTTGTTGAAGTCATCCCAAAAATATATATATATCATGATAGAAAAGAGATCGTCCTTGATCAGACTTATGCATTTGCTTCAATTTTTTTTCTATGTAGTCAATGTTCCTAATAAGAACAGATATCTCAAATGTGTAATGAATTTCATTTTTCACTAAGAAATTTTAAATAAAAATATAGATATTTTTATATTTTTGAATGGAGGAATATTTTCTGCATCGAATAATGCAAAAATTACTTAACTACCTTGAAAAATAAAAAAATAATTAGCGATAATTGGTGACTAATCGAATTTGTTCTTATTAGACACATTTCTTAATAAGAGCAGACTGCATGAAATATATAGAAAATTAAATATGTTTACCCATGTTATCAAAATCAGTGATTTATTAGGCCGATTAATTGTGAGATTATATCGCAATTAAATCGTCAAAACCGACGATTTTTGCCGATTTTCATGGAAAATCACGATTGTTCGAAAAAAACTATCTACTATCGGACTTGATCGAAGTATTTGGACCTACGACTACATTTCAATACCAAACCTATACACGTTTCCTACCATACTCATATGGCGGTAAGATCATGTTTCACTCTTCAATATTTTTCAAACAAATTACGTGATGAACATTAACAATCAATTCCGAAGAAAATTAGCTATTTTATTTTTTTGCACAGGATAAAAATTTTTTTTCGAAAAACAAATTTGAGTCGTTACCCATCGAGTGACTCAGAAACATTTTTTTTTTCTTTTTTTTAATCGAAATTTATGTGATTTATAGGTTATCGATACTGCTGATCACGATATCATATCTATTTTGCTTTAAAATATTTCAAAAAAGACAAGTATCGAGTATCACTCGTATTTTTAGAAAGCTGTCTTCTAGCTTTTAAAAATATTTTGAAACAAAATAGATATGATATTCGTGATCAGTGGTGTCGATAACCGATAAATCATATAAATTTCGATTAAAAAATGTCTTTAGGTCACTGGGTAGCCATCGATTCAAAATTTTTTTCGAAAAAAATTTTTTATTCTGTGCACAAAATAAAATAGCCAATTTTCTCCAGAATTGATTGTTGATTTTCACCATATAATTTTTTTGAAAAATATTAGCGGATGAAAAGTGACCTTACTAACACTCATTCTTTTACTAAAATAACACTTACTTTGATTGCAGAGTATTTTCTTCTCAAATTTGAATTTATTATTAGAAATAGAAAGAGTTCAAATTCATAGAGGAAAAAACATTTTCAGAATATAATTTCATCCATAAAAATTTTTGCAGTACCATCTATAGTAAACATTTATCTCAGAACTGTGGTCGAGCAAGTATCTATAGCTACTACAGGTGGATCAGGTGCCTCAACATTTATCAGTACTCCGTTGAAATTGATCCGTTTCTGTAAATATTAACATGATGAAACATTACGAAATAATTTCTTTTATTTAAAAATAAATTATAAGTTTCATTTTCTTCAACATAACACAGTACATCCATATCTATTCATTTTCACTAATTCATATTTTAATTTGTGCACAAGAAATTTTTTTTATATTAATTTTTTCAACGTCAACTTCTGGGTGTAAACATTTATCATCCTATCACAAGAAATATATAACCTAAAAAATATATCATTATTTTTACGGGAATACAACATAATAAAACTCAACAGCATAATATATTCATACTTTAAATATCATGTATGGGCCAGATCGAATTCAAACACAATATAATATTGACGGGGGTGCTTGGTGACCCCATACAACGACGCATATATAAAAGATCAGTTACGCGTTGAGATTTGAGGTGTTAGCATTATTATTAATTCTATTACATGTACTCAATTTAAGTTTTGAAAAGCTAATTGAGTATGCTACCTATGACTTTTCAGGGACTAATTGGACATGCTACCTGTTGCATTTCCAGCACTACCTGAGCATGACACCTACAGCAATGCAAGTGGTGTCTGTAGAGTCTCAGCTGCTGCCTCTAGGATCTCGAATGGTGTCTATAGTATTCTAGGTACTGTGTATAACATGTCAGATAATGTCTGTAACAGTTCTTGGAGTAACTCAGGTGGCGTTAAGAGCATTTCTGTAGGATGTCAGATTGTATCTGTAAGGTGCTGTAGCATCACAGATGATGTCAGTAGCCTTCCTGAAGTATCTCAGATGGTGTCTGTGGAATCGCTATAGCATAGCAGGGTGTGGATGTAGTAGAAGAAAAAAAGATCTACAGCCACACCTTTAAATAGCTAATAATAATTTATAAAAAGCGCTAGGCTTTAAGTAACTAGTTACATGACTTATCAGCTACTTAATTATTAAGTAGCTGTATATGATTCGAAAAAGTATCTCTTTTGAGAAGCTACGTACATTATTAAATCTTATATGACAAAAAAATAATTATGCCTTAGTCGATAAGACACAAACAAAAGATAACTTGAGAGTATGGTTCCAATTAATATGGCAAAGTTATGAAAAAGCATCTATGGAAAAAGTACATTTTAACCCATTTCGGGCAACTTTTTTTTTAAAAACATAATTTCTTCATTCATCAATTCTAATAACAACCACAAGCATGAAGCATGGTTTTTTTTGGTTCTTATCTTTTCGATCGTATTACTCTTTGTATAAAAATCTACATACCTATTTTTATATTTCTCACATGGTGACCATCATTTATCAAGGTTTATATCGGTAGAGTAGCAGTTCTTTTTTCTGTTCGTGCCATAAAATGTCCCGAAAAGTTGTAATACTAACCAGTGCAATTACAACTTACGTAAGTTTCACTCTTTAAACATTGTTTAATACATATTCGAAAAACAAAAAAATTCGTATTCATCCATCATACATTTTAGGGATTGTATAAATATGTCAATTCGAATAAGAACAAACGATGTATTTACTCAATAAGATCCATATCTGATCATCCAACGAGTCTTATAATCGGCACTGGTATTATTGGTTTGACGAGTGCTTATTATTTAGCTAAAAATGGACATAAAGTTATTTGTATTGAAAAACGAGAAGATGTTGCTCTAGAAACAAGGTAAGAAATTTAATAAAATTCTAACTTTAATATCTTAAGAAATATTATAGTTATAAAAATGGTGCATTGATATGTCCATCTCTATTAACACCATGGGCAAATTCTGATGTGCCAAAGAAATATTTCAAATCCATATTTTCTTCTTCATCAAAACTAACATCTACTAAAATTTGGCCGAGTACTTTCTTTTCGCTAAAATTCTATCGTTGGATGTATGAATATTTAAAAAATTGTACAACAAAAGCTCAGATTAATAATGCAAAACATCTATTAACACTTAGTATGTATTCTCGACAATGTTTAAATGATATTCTCAATGAAGTATTTATCAAAAAATTTTATGAAAAATTCATTTCATTTTTTCTTCAAAAAATATTTTCTAGAATTCTATATCATTTTCTCGTCATTCAAATGGTTCATTACAAATAGCTATAGATCCGATTATTTTGAAACAAATTATTGAAGAATCAAAATATATTAATAATATACAAATTCTATCAACATCCGATGAAGTTATTAAACATGAACCAATATTAAAAACTGTAAAAGATCGATTCTATGGTGGTGTTTTTAGTTCATTAGATACAAATGGAAATATTTATGAATTTTGTTGTGAATTAAAAAAAATTCTCATTGAAAAATATAATGTTCAATTTTTATTTAATAAAGAAATCAAAGATTTTCTTGTAACAACTACGAATAAAAGTCATAATAATTATCAACAACATCATATAACTGGAGTTTTAACAAATGATAATAAAATTATTAATAATATAGATAATATCATTTTAACAAATGGAAATTATGTTATGCCATTAATGGAAAAATTAAATATTTATATACCAGTTTATCCTGTTAAGGTAGAAACGATCTATCTAAAATTGAAATAGTTTATTTCATTTTAATTATTAAAAAAAAAAAAGAATGATTAATAACCGATTATTATTTATCTATTTTATTATAGGGCTATGTTGTTGAAATAACAACACCAGCAAATATTTCATTTCCATCGATGAATTTAGTTGATGATGGAAATAAATTATATATTTCAGCATTAAAACCAACTGCTGAACAAGGTATAGTTCGAGTTAGTGGTCTTGCTGAATTTGCAGGTTGGAAAGTAAGAATATGATGTTTTTATTAAATCTAAAATATATACATCTCGATCGGTATGTTCGATCTCATAGGATATTGGTATTCTTAGTGAACCGGATCGAGCTCAATATTTATATGAACAAACAATAAAATGGTTACCACATTTAGAACCTTATGAAAAAACCTTTCATAGTTGTTCTCGTCCTGTATCAGCCGATGATATACCATTAATTGGACTTTGTGATGATTTCGATAATCTTTTTGTTAATTGTGGTCATGGTAGTAAAGGATGGACGTTGGCATTTGGATCAGCTGCTTTGTTAGCTAATATTATTAATCAAAAGTCGAACAAGGAAGGATCAGAAGACATCGATCCCGAACCATATTCTCCAAATAGATTTTAATAGATTCTTTTTCGTGTTTTGATAATCAAAAAAGTTCGATGAAGTTTGCCGAATAACATGTTAGATTTATTACAACGAATATAATAAATATTTCAAGTTAATTCTAAAGAACATCTGATGATATCTAGATAAATCTATGTAAATCATCAGATTTATGAGTAGTTAAAAAACAATCATGAAAAATATATATGGAAATAGACTGACCGTGTGCATTTAGAAGAAAAAAAAGTATTATTAGACAGCAACAACAGTGTCTAATGAGGAGTATGAGTGCAGTAGAAGAGAAGACCCACACTCACATCCATATCTTGTTCAAAGCACACTTCATAGTTATTTTAGAAAAGATTAGTTTTGTGTCATAAAAACAAATGTTATTTCAGAAAAATCGATGATTATTTGAACTAATAAATTATTGAAAATAAGAAAAAAGATCATTTCATGCAATTGCAAGTGAATATTTATCATTTGAAGAAAAAAATAACTTAAAATCTTTCAATAATGAGCACCTTCGTAAACTGACCACTGTTGGTCGGTCTCGATAGTGCTTACGTTAGAGAAGTTTTTACTGTATTCAACTTTTAATAAATTCTCCTTATGTAACAAAAATTAGTTCACGATAATTAGATTACAAAACTTAAAAATAGATTTTCATTTTCAGATTATTACTCATCAAAGCTATATTGATAGGTTTATTATTAAAAGAATAAGATCATAGTGATACAAAGAACAAAAATGAACTACTGCACTAAATATAGAATTAGTGATTTTATTGATTAAATGAATACTCTTTTGAGAAACAAATGACTAAGGAAGAAATGTTGTATATTTATGTATGTTCTAGTGTGACTAAACAAAATGATTTCAAAGCCTAGCTACAAATTTAAGTTATTGCATAATATCAATTTATTAATTCCCTAATCCTTTCCAGTTCGTCTTTAATCATGATTTGTAGACAAGTGTGTTTGAAACAGAACACTTTTATAATCTCAATCTTGAAAAATATTACGCTTTTTCTTGACGGCAAGTTTATAGAAACTTCAACATAAAAGGACAGTATTAACTTGCATGACTAACACAGGATATGACAAATAGACGCGATTGATAGAGACTATGATTTTCATCAAATTCAATTCGAATGTATTATGTATATGTTCAAAAGATTGGATCAATTCAATTAGTCTTAAAAAAATAATAAATTTTTATCATCTTTGACGTTACGATTGAAACATCGACGGAGATAAAAACACGCTCAATAACCATTAGATAACAAAAGATAGTTCAAACAACAAATCACTTTCGATTTTATTGGCTGCGATAAAAGAAACTCTTTATCAATAGTACACAGACCATTAATATCGCAAAACATTCATACAAAACGTTCTGTAATTAGAATCAAATGTGTTTTTATATCTTATAGCAAGAAAAGATAATTTGTTATGTTAATATCATTATTATCAAAGATAAGCAAGTTTTTCTTAATAGTTATTTGATATCATCACTATCTTCGAAGTGAATCACGTTATTGGGTAAAACATCAAAAAAAGATAATTATCTGTGCATATAAAAATAGTGAGTAGAAGAAAACTGATTCATGTTTCACTTTTTTATATTACCACATAAATTTATCTATCTCTAGGAAAAACAAAGAGATAGATCATTTGTAAAGAGTTTCTTAATTAAAACTTATGAATCGAACTAAACGTCACAGTGCTAATGCTCATCGATCCGCTTATCTTGTTAATCCAATATTATCATTAACACCTTCGAATTAATCTCAATTTTGATTTACTCAACGTATGATACATCTAATATTTTCTAATCAAAAAGAACTCAGTGTTTTCGATATGTATTTTGCTGCTCGGTATAAATTTATGAACATATCTGACATTCCTGTCATTCGTGTATTTAAAGATAATGATGAAAAATTATGGAGTGTAGATCATCGACGTTTATGGGTAATGAAAAAAGCTCGACGCAGATTTAATTATGAATCCATATACCGAGTGACCCAAAAGTAAGAAAACGCAGAAAAAATTGAATATTTCTATTACGACTAGAGCAAACGAGCTAATTTTTTGTTATCAATGATAGAAGCATGTTCAAGTGTTATATCCACAGAGACATACCTAACGAGACCTTTTGTTAAGTATCACTATTGATCTTAAGAAAAAAATGTTACCTTTTCATAGAGAGGAAATAAAATAATATCCTTAACAAAGAATCTCTCTATGCATGTCTTTATGGATAAAAAGCTTGAACATGCCTCTATTATTGATAAAAAAATCAGCTCATTTGATCAAGCTGTAATTGAGGATATTCAATTTTGTTTTCGATAAAGTGACTTTTGTACCGTTCTTTACATTATTTTATTTCCTAACTGTCAAAAAGTAACATTTTTTTCTTAAGATTAATAGTGATACTTAACAAAAGGTCTCGTTAGGTATGTCTTTGTGGATATAACACTTGAACATGCTTCTATCGTTGGTAAAAAAAATTAGCTCGTTTGTTCAAGTCGTAATGAAAATATTCAATTTTTTCTGTGTTTCCTTACTTTTGGGTCACCCGGTATATACGTATACGTGAACAAGAACCCAAAACGTTTTAAAGAACTAGAACATAAAATTCGGAGTTTACATAGAACAAAAAGCAAGGGGGGAAACAGCAGACTTTTGTACTTCATGTACTTTGCGCTGCTTTGAGCTACTTTAAGCCTACTTCTAGTAGAGTACTTTGAAGTACTTTTCAACTTCAAATTTACTTGAAGTTACTTGTAATTGCTTCAAGCTACTTTAAGCTTACTTCAAGCCTACTTCAAGTAAAGTACTTTGGCGTACTTTTCTACTTCAAGTCTGCTGTTTTCCCCTTGACAAAAAGTGAATATGTTTGGTTTCGATCTCGAGAACTTTCAGATCTCATTTATTCATGTTGTATTAATGCATCAAAACGTTGTAAACTTGTCAATCATATTGCAAATGATCATTTAAATATTAATCTTGAACAAATCACACTATTAACACATTGTTCTATTCACTACAAGGATCAAAAGTCGTATACCTGTTTGATAAGCTCTAGTATTGGAACATTGAAAGATATAATTCGTTATCGATGTCAAATAATAAAATAAATTATGGCCAATGCTCAACTTGAACCAAGCAACGAACAGATACGATTATTCGAGAAGTTTGAAAATAGAAAAACAAATCCAAATTCGAATTTATTATTGTCAACTGAACAAAATGCAACTATTAATTTATTGAAACCTATTTCTGAAATAATGTAATGTTTGTTATTATACATTTTTTAATATATAATCAGAAATGGCTATCTCTTTACGACATTTCGTTTAAATTAAATCAGTATTGTCGAAGTTAATCTTAATTCAGGACAGACAAAAAGAAAGAAAAAGCCCAATTATGTCAAATTACTAACACTCAATAAAACGACTTGATCTTATATGTATTTTAGGATTTGCCTCATCCTTCTTTTTTTGACCTGTGGGCTTTTATATCAACCATTCCTGTTTGAACAAATTTAAAAATTATATCGATTCGCTAGGAAGTATAAGCTAACTGTGTTGGACATTAATTGTTGATCTACATACTCTTTAGGATAAGAATCATCTAGTCGTGAAACATGATAAACTACTATAAGAGTAGTCTTCGGCTAGTAAATTGTTCTTTAGTCGAAAATGCGAAATTATCTTTTCGAAAACAATAGAAAAACAAAGTTTTTTTTACAATAAGGGTGTGGGTCTACCCTGCACATACATGCAGACCCACAGTCACACCCACGGCCAGCCCATCCACACCCGCACCCACGCACATCCACAGCCACACCCACGCACATCCACAGCCACACCCACGCACATCCACAGCCACACCCACCTCACCCACACCACACACCCGCCTATACACGCACCCCAACAGACATTCGATGAATAATGAGTATTTTAATACGTATGGAAATTGTCAATTTTGTAGAAAATGTATTATTCGATCTCTTGAAACCTTGTTTGAGTAAACAAAATTATCAAATATAGGAAAAAATATGAAAAAAAATCAAAACACAAAAAGAAAATTGTTTCCAAAACTGTTCTGGCGTAATCAGAAAATCAATCTAGTTTTTAGATTTTTGACAAGTATCTAAATAAAATAAGATATTATGGAATTTTGGATTACTGACTATAATCCATCATTTGATGTAAAAAAGTTTTCAAAAAAAAAAATTACCAGTCAGCACTTGTATCTAATTTTCATCTATGTGGTGCCATATCATGTCTTAATATATGTCCATTGTTACTTAAATATATATAGAATTCTATATTACGTATAAGTTATATTATCTATCAAATTATTTTCAAAAACATTTTATTGTATTTTTAAAAAAATTGAATCCCTGTTACTATTATTCTAGATTTACGATATATATGAAACTTTATAATTATTCCCTTGCCTCTCCTCGATATATATAGACAATATATATATATATTTATTTACTTATAGGAGTAGCGAGTTAGGTAAGATAGTCTTATTAATTTATATTTTGATAGCTTCCACTATGTATGAAAAAAGTTTTATTTAATATTTGTTATAGTATATACATGATGCAGATCATTTATTTGTATTCAAATTCTATCTCTTGTAAATGAAGAAATCTATCGAAGCTTTTTCTTAGAATCATTTAATTGTAAATACAGTTTTAATTAATTGATTCTCGAAAAAGCTTCGATAGATCTCTGTATTTAGAAGAGAAAGACTTTGAATAATAACAAACGATCAACATTATCTATTTAAAGCAATTGATTCAAAAAACAATTTTTCTGATATAAAGTTGAAACGATATAAAAAAAACTAATTAATAATGGTATCCTATTGAAGTAAGCACTATCATATATATCACGAATTATGCAAATATATTTGATGTGAACTCTTATAATGAAATTTATATGTTAGTAATATTTTATTATATCGTTCTATTACATTTTGTTTACTAATTATTAT